CCTTTTTTATTCCTATAGATGTGCCTATTTCGATATTATTGGTATCCAACTTCTCTGTGACAACTGAGAGTCAATGGTTGAGTTTGTAGTTGTGGTTGGGACTTGGACTAGTAATGAATCATGAGTAGTTAATAGATTCACCTATAAAATCACTGTCATATAAATAGTTGGTATCAGGACAATCAAGATTGGCCAAGTAAGAGCAGCCAATATTCCTAAGTTGAAGTATGTGGTCAAGGTTGAGGTCAAGGCTTGACTGAATCGAAATGACATGTCAAGATCCAAAACAGAAGACTATGTTAGTTCCATAAAAACTTTCCAGCATATATAGGAGGTGTGATAATATAGCCGAAAGAAGGTAGAAAAATCCATTGCTTTGGCCAACATATTGTTTGTAAGGCTTAAGACCCCTGTATCCTGTTTCTCTTTCTTCTTGTTTGATCAACTGCTCACCAACAGCTGATATTAGCTGCTCGTCTGCACACAATTGATGTATATTTTCTTCGGAGATTTTGGTTGTTTCTTTGAGAGAATATCCTCAATTACTCTCACTTTTTATTTCGTCGCCATGTGCATTAATGAGGTTTTGAAACTCTTCACAAGAAAGAAGCGACTGATCACTTTTTGGATGGTTTTGTGTATAAATAAAGCGACTTTATTCATTTGTTCCCTTGACCTAAATGCCAAAAAGAATGCGTGTTGTTGAGCATATGCTTCTTCACCATTTGTTATGGTCAAACATGGCCAACTTGGAAGACTAGAACTTCTTGTTCTAGTTTCTTTTTGTTTTACAACTACTATTGTTGGTTATGAAGTTCTCATGTTCTTTTCTTTTTTCATGACAATTTGTGCTATGACTATTCTTAGACCGAATTCTCTTGAAGGGTACTAACTTAAATTATCCTCTCTTGTAGGTGGATCAGTAGATCAAGAAATGGATGATGAAGAAGAACTAGACCTTACTTGAGATGAATTTTGAATTGTTATAGATGAATGTTCTAGGAATCTTTTGTTATCTACATTTCTGAAACTTACTTACTCTCTTGAAATGTACTAAACTTATGCACTTGGGGTGGAACATTTACTTTATGGATATTATTTGCTTGATGGATAATTTTATATTATTAATAGTTTCATTTTATGATGTATTTAAATTTTAGTGTTATTATTATTTTGTTATATATATATAAATATTTATTTATAACAGGTGCTATATTTTGGTTTTAACTGAACTGATACAATAGCCTACCAGAACCGTTGCAATAGGACACAAATGACGTTCCAGTAGACAATGTAAACCGTTGCAATAGGTCCAATAAAATATTCCAAATTGATCTATAAACCGTTCCAAATACAAATATAACCGTTGCGATAGCTTAAAGAAACCGTTGCTATATCCATACATAACCGTAACAATAGCTTACATAAGTGTTGCTTAAATAATATGGTAACGGTTAAGAACCGTTGTATAAACAATATAGTAACGATTTTAAACCGTTTCAATTGAAAAAAATAAACGTTCCAACAGAGAAGGGGAAAACCGTTGCGATAGACGTATCTAGGGGTGTTCATGGTTCGGTTTGGATCGGTTTTTCCCTTAAAAAACCAAAACAAGTAAGTCGGTTTTTCAAATGTTAGAACAAACCAAACCAATTAAGTCGGTTTTTTCTCGATTCGGTTTATGTCGGTTTTTCGGTTTTTTCGGTTATTTGTCTGTTTTTTCTTAAATATAAGACATATACTACCAAACACATATTCCGGAGACCACATTTTCAACGTAACACTATCAAATCAATTGCCCTTTGAGAAATCTATTATTTACCAAGATATATTGATGATAATTGAATCAAATAGTGATGAATAATTTAAGGACTCAATTAAAAATATATTATTTTTAACACGAAATGGATTCTTACACTTAACAAAAGAAAACTACCAATCAAACTAGAATGTAAAGGTAAAGAACTATACTAAAAGTGCAAACTATTAACATTTACCATTAAATTTTTGAAACTTTATATAAAAATATACATATATATAGGTGAATAATGAATTTGAAATAGCTACTCCTATAGTCGGTTTGGTTCGGTTTTTTTTCTGATTAAAACCAAAACCAAACCAAATTTGATCGGTTTTTAAAATTCAAAACCAAAACTAAACCAAACCAAAAATTAAAGTATCGGCTTTTTTGGTCGGTTTGGTTTGGTTTTCGGTTTGGTTCGATTTTTCGGGTTTTTATGAACACCCCTAGACATATCTATAGTCACGGCGATGCAAACCGTTGCAACAACTGTTCCAATAGACCTATGGACATGCGAGCTGATGTAACGGGTTGTAAACCGTTCCAATATACCTATGGCAACGGTTTGACAGTCTCTGGCAATTGTTTTCCAACCGTTATCGTAGACCAATTTTTCAGTAGTGTCCATTGACGCGTTTTAAAGTCGTGCAGGCCTAGGCCCAAAGCGGACAATATCACTAGTGAGCTGAGCTGTTACATGTGGTATCGAAGTCACTCCGCATGGAACCTTGAATGGTTGTGGGGCAAACATCAACGAGGACCCTGAGTCCCTAAGGGGGGGGGGGGGGGAAGGAATGTGACACCCTAGGCGAATTCCACATCGACAAAATACGGAAGAGATGTTTAGTATATAAGTAAACAAGCCTTAGACCCTAATGACGTATTTTAAAGTCGTGCGGGCCTAGGCCCGAAGTGGACAATATCACTAGGGGTTGTACTGTTACAATTGTTTAAAAAAAAGAGAGAGAGAAAATGAAGACGATATTAATATACTTTAATAAATTAAAAGGAAAACAACTAAAATGTAGTTAGCAAGAATTATCAAAGATTGTAAGCCCCAATTAGGTAATCAATTGTAGTAGGCTCATATAGATCAATGAGAGAAGAAATAATCAAAATAAAACCTATAGTCCAAATATGAAAGAATGAAAAGTCAAAAGTATAAAAATTAAAACGAGAAAAAACAAAGAATTTTAGAAGAAAAAAAAAATCTTCACCACTTTTTGTTGGATAACGTCATTTAGCAAAAAAATATGCGTGAAAGATGTTTGCATTTTCTGAAAAGTAAAGGATGACTTGTATTTGTGTGATTATTACAAGTGGAAATCTGCCAATGTGATCTTAGTCTTCCTTTTTTTTTTTTTAAATTTTATTTCAGCCTACTTCATTTGTGCTGATCAGTTTACTTTCTATTTTTTTGGTTTCCCACCCGGTGTCCGGTACCCACATTGGAGCCCGACTATATCCGAATTCGCTCCGCGTAGAGCCTCATATGGGGGAAGCGCTCCCTACCAAAGATTTTTTCATACCCAAGGCTCAAACCCGAGACTCTGGTTAAGGAAAGAGCAGTCACTTCTACTACGCCACATCCTTTGGCGGTGATCAGTTTGCTTTCTAACTTCGAACTACATGTTAACAATTGTGATTGCCCAAATAAAGCAAATATGATTAGATTCTTATTAACTTAGATATCATTTTTTTTAATAATGTACAAGTGCACACTAGAATCATCAAAATTTATTAGTATGTGATATTTATATCAAATTAAGTAATTTAACTTTATAAGTCAATTCAAAAGTTAACCTTTGTCAAAGGAATCGTACATACATTACTATATAATAATATTAGTATTAGAATTATTATCAAAACAAATTGTGAAAGATGATTTTTTTTTTTTCCTTTTCTTTCTAGTCATACCAAAGACATAAATATTGCAAAAATAAATTAAAAAACAGTGAACACTTCATTAACCGAATTCATTGTCCCTTCTTCTTTGGTTGGTTAGAAAACAGGAGATTATAAAAATGACAAGAAATAAATGGAATTTAGGTGTATGAATTGGGAGAATGATTTTGGGATATGGCAATATGATAAGATATTAGAAAGTTAAAACTCCTAGAAATTTTATAAAAAGAATAAGAACTCGTATATTTTATTTCATGAATTTTAAACAACTAATTTTATATTATTGCACAGATCTCCAGAGATTCTTTTTCCTTTGAGTACTATATTAACATCATTTTTCTATTCTAGTTTCATCCAATCCTGAGCAATGCATTTAAGCTTCTTGTTGTCTGGTTTTTGTTTTTGGCTGAACAAACACATCATGAATTAAATGTCGGTCAAAAGATGATAAATCTGGAAAAAAAAAATTACTACGAAGAAGAAGAAGAAAAATTAACTCGAGTTTTTATTTTTCTTAAGAAATTTGTCCTTGGCAGACCAGCTAACAATAAATCACTGTTACTTAAAGTCTTAGACCACTTTCACGGTAAAGTTATCTCCGTTAGACCAAATTACGTGTGTGAATAGAGGTGGCAAATGGGTAGGTCGGGTCTGATATGGACGGGTCGAAAACGGGCAATTCAAAAAACGGATAAGTTATCCTATCCGATCTTTATTTAATACAAATAAAAAACGAGTTGACCAGCAGACATGACTTCTTGAATATAATCATTTTCGGGAGAATTTCTAGTCTCCTAAACTTGAGAAACCCCCAATTTGAGGCTTTACAAATGTAAAAGTTAACCCATTAGTTATCCATTTTCTAAGTGGATAATATAGTTCTTATCCATATTTGACCCGTTTTTAAAAAGTTCATTATCCAACCAATTTTTTAATGGATAATATGGCAGATAACTGATTTCTTTTAACTATTTTGCCATCACTAGGTGCGAACCTTAGAAGCGCCAGCGACTAATGCTTGTGTTAGGGTAGGCTGTCTACATCACACTCCTTGGGGTTTGGCTCGTGAATACGAAATGCTTTGTGCATCGAATTGCATTTTTTTTTTAGAACACTTTCACAAAACCATTTTATTCAGATCAGATCTCGAAGCTTAAACGAAATAAAACTATTTAATCAAATAATTTCTGTAGTTGCAAGATTCTTTCTTTGTTGTTGAGATGTTGGTTAGTGTTTAATGTACCGTTTGTCTAGCCTATTTTTTACGCAAACATTTCAATATCCAAGATAAAAATAAGGGAAAGTATCAATGAGGCTCTTTTTATTTAATTAATTAATCAGAAGTATCATAAAGACTTTTCTTTTTAACCAATGCTATAGCATTTCTAGTCAAAAGCATCAGAATACAATGAAACCTTTTCTCATTCTAGTTTATAAAACCAACACTAGGCAAAAAACGGAGGGAAAAAAAAAACAAGAAAATCTACCAGTTATAAGCTGGAAATCATGGCCTACATGAAACATGGTGCAGAAACAACTCTCAGACTGCAGAATGAGGATTCTTGAAAATTTTCAAAAGCTACACTAGGGCAGAATTCCCTAGATCAGATAGTGAGATTTTCTTGAACGCCGGTGAATGTGCCGATTATCTTCCCTCCGATATCTGGAAAGGTTTCACAGCCAGGTAGTGACTTGACCTTGCCCATTCGATCAACTTCAACAGGATACTTAAGAAGGTGGCCTCTCATCTCAGTTACTTCATCAGCCGCGTATTGTAGCCAGTTGTGTTCACCAAATACTCTTATCCGTCTCACGCATTCAAGACTCTCTGGAAGCTCGAAACATTGCTCAAGAGTTCCCGTGTGCTCTGCCCACAGTGACATCCTGTAGCCGTATACCTGCAAGTCGAGAGCAACTGAGTCACACATTACAACTTCTTGGAATGAAATGCATTAAAAGATAACAATGGTTCTGAATATCAGTTCATAGCGTCAATCCTAAGCAGATATGTCATCGCAACAATTTGCTTCAAATTTTACCTGTCCATGTGGTCGAGAGTGTTTGGTTGCCCATGTATGATGAGGCTGATAAGAACCCATTGCAATTTCAGTATCTCGGGTGCCTTCCAGGGAACGTTGATTAATGTTCGCAGATCCCAATATAACATACTCATCATCCACTATCATTCCTTTTGAATGTACATATATCATAAAACGCCGACTTTTCTGACTGAGTTCCTGAGGTGTAGTTGGCTTAGAACTTTTGACAACTGTATTGTTTCCATCTTCCTGAACCTCGCGATTGCCAAGACAGAAGAAATTCAAATAGTCTTGGGGTTCAAATGTGTTTTCCAGCCCTACCTCTACTAAAGCTTTGTAAATTGTGTCATACATCATCTGCATGGTATTGTGCTGCAAATACAAACAAAATTGCATAAAATATGCAGCAAAATCGTAACATTAGCAATGCAATTAGGTCCAAATGCACACAGATTAACATAGAAATTTTGAAAGATTTATTGCATTATGGAGCAGCTAGTGACTGTTCAAAATACAGTTAAATAAGTGAATATGTAGATATCTTCCTGAAGTCATAATACAAGGTAAAAATATCTTAATGTCGTGATTATTTTTATTAATTTGAAATTTTGAATTGGTGGTGTAGAGTAAAAGATTAACTAAATAGCGATGGATAAAAAAAATTGAACTGAGTAGCTTGGAAAGAAGGGAGTATACTTCACGTGTTGTTACTCATCCTTCTCCACATCATCCCTAACCTATTGTTACCATCTACGAAACACAACTAAATTATTCTGCCAATTGATTCTGAAGTGCACGATAATTACCAAAGCTAACTCATTTCACCATTCATCTCAGCTGAAAACCTTGACAATAAACTGAACTAGTCAAAAGGAAATGACATCAAACAAATTAAACCAGTGACATCTATATGAGGAAATGGTATGTGTCACCTGTTTAAGTTGGGAAAAGACAGATTTGAAGAGACAAAGAACTACTAAATTGCCTTATGACAAAAAGAAGAACAACCGATTAAAAGAAAAAGGAATCAAATAACTAAATCGTCTCAGATTACTGTAATCAGATTTTGTAAAGAAAGATTAAGTCACTGAGACAATGGACAAAAATGTACCTGCCAAAAAAGTATTCTCTGAGTAGCAGTACTGGTTGGAACACCCTCTGGCCACATAGGAACAACTATATATACTGAAAACCTCTCATTTGCCCGTATTTTGTTGGCAATTTTTAGAGCAATCTCCATTGGTATCAAGTTATTTGCACCTAGAGATAGAAAGCAGATTTACACAATCATTATATAGTAATTCTTACTTTCAAACATGTCACGGTGAACAATAAAAGAAGATTTTTGAATTCACAATAGCCATACAGGAAGTGGGCTTGACTTCAGCAGCTCAAATATAACAAAGAGGAAGAAAACTAAACAAGATATGAAGCAATTATCGCAAATCTTTTATCACATGGACTTTCTAGTCAGTTGTGACATCAGACTGAATTATGCTGAAAGTATTCCAGACAGATTGATTCAGAGTTCATTAAAAGAAAAAGAAATTTGTTTCCCCTTAAATCAGTATTTTTAGAGTCCTCACCTAAATCTTGGTAGTTATTCCAATTGTAAGAGGACCCTAGGAAGTACTGGTTCTCAATGTAGATGAAATGTTGGGCAGCTCGGATTGCCTTTACATAGGCAGTATGTATGCTCATATCTATCAGCACATTCTTACCACAAACTAGATTCTGTTACAAGAAATGGTCAACACAATGGTTAGCTTACGGCATATAGATGGCTTGCGTTTTATAGAAGAAACATTTAGAAGCAAATATCTTGCCTTGTTAGTGGCTTCTTTGGGATCTTTGGGGAACCCTTTAACAGAGTTGGAGTCAATCGACCGGAAAATCTGCATGCGAAACAACGTTAGTCAGAGGCAAACAAAAGGGAACTGAACAAGCAATGCTAGATTCAATTCTTAAGTACCTGGACATGCCACGTATCTGCATCATCTTCTCCTAGGCAAGGGACATCAGCTATTTTTAATATGTCGGGAATCCTGTCAAGTTGGAGTAATGCATCATCTTGTGAAGCTTTCATCTTTTGAAGTCCATGGCGCTTTGAAGCCTTCAACCAGCGCTCTTCGAAGTTAGTTAGGACATCATATGCAGCAGGCCCCTCGATCCGACTATGTAAATCATGCCAAGGTTCTCTAGGACAACCGGTAGTAGGGCCCTGTCAAAGTTCAAGAAAAGATAATATGAAACAAACAGATCATGATGACAAAGATCAAATTGCAATTGCTTGTTATAAGAAGCTAGCCTACACCTTTTCCTGAGGGACTTACAACGTTATGTAAAAAGACAAATATATCAAAAGTTGCCACTTAATTAGTCACACAAACAGGAAGTTAAGTAAAAAGTAATGAATCATAGACATTCAAGTATTACCGTGTAGTTAGGCTGATGATAGTCATCTTTGTGCACATTTTGCAATGTTTTAAAGATAGGGTGTTGTGGAGTATCATAACGCCCTTTGCACAAATCAAGGCCACCAACGAAAGCGATAATCTTTCTCTGGTAATTACCAGCATCTGCATCCACTATTACAGTTTTCTGATGATGTGTGTATATTGTTCCAGTTTCCTGATGACAAAAATCAAAGCGGCTCAATACCTAAACCAATCTCAGAAGAGACAAGTGCTTCAGAAATAATTACTCAGGCAAGAAGAAGAAACTATATAAGGGAATATAATCATTCTAGAAAAACTTCTTAGTCCTAGTTAACCTGGCACCTTAGGGACCAAGTGCATTTACTAGCTGTTTATTGCGCAAGGGTTGAGAATTTCTATGGTCCAAAGACAGATCCAACCTCAACTTCCTTAGAAATAAGGTTAGACCTCAGCAGTAATACATATTATCCACCTGAAGCTATATATATATGGACTACCAGAGTCAGGTAAAAACAAAGGTACAATGCGAAAATAAGCTTTTTGAATGTTGGAGTAGAACAAAGATGACCATATAGTATTCAAGACGGCAGAAATCTATCAGCTCCTGAACTATTAGCGTACTTCCTGCTTCTTTTCGCTTGAAATATAGACTATTTTGAAGTCATTCTTGTATAGGCTTGCAGCTTTATTATTATCTTCTATTTTCACCATTCTCCTTTCTCTGTATTTTCCTGAACACTACAAATAGCGCATGTATACACTACTACTTTGTTTCAATAATACGATATTGGCCTCAGCATTGTCCAAAATATTTATCAAGCAGGTAATGGTATCTTCTAATTTGTGCAAAATCTTGAATTGGAAGTGGATACCTCATCATATGACCGAGTCATTTGTGAAGGTGTTTGTGGTCCTTTGACTAGGGAGATGGCCCCCAAGCCATATCAGAGAAAGAACATAGACACATACATCGAACACGAGAAGATATAAGACAACATGAATATACTTGAGAAAATATAAACTTCGGAAACTTCACCATTTACCAATCAATCTATATTCAGTGCCATGAGAACCGTGAGAACTGGAGATGCAAGTACAGAAGTTGCTAACATGATATGGTTGGGGAATACAAGAATTTCAGAAATGGTAACTAAATACGGTAATGCATAAGTCATATGTAAGAAGTGAACCTGTTTTTTGACCCAGCTGTGTCCTTTTCCAGCAGAACGGGGACAAAGTAGCACGTGCACTGAAGAATGCTTAAAATAGCGACGAGTTTCTTCATCACTAGTTCCCATGATTCCTTCCTACATGTCACAAATAACTCATACCGTTAAGGCTTCCTTTTCATAAAATAGGCATCGTAGAACAAGATATTCACTGCTTGAATCGCTGAATAAAGCTTCTGACTTAGAGTCAATAGGATGTTACTTACAATATTTAACGCCATACAATGATAATATAATACAATCTGGTTGTCCACTCTTAATGGCACATAGAGCAAGAATTCAAGCTAAAAAGTAATGGTACATGTTTATGCAACCACCCACTCGAATGTAGGTCGAATCTATGTTAGATGATACTAATTAGTTGCTTATTCCTGAATGGCATACATACAAAAATTAGTCTGGATTATCCAATCACTGAATTAAGCATTCTATCTATGTTTCTCAAGTACAGTAAAAAAATGAAAGTGATTACCTAACTCATATTGGTCAACGAAAACAGAGAAAAGACATTGAAATTTTGGTAAGCAAAAAAGAGAACTGTTTTGTAGAAACTTACACTTTTGTATCCCAAAATGCTCTTAGAAGAGGTAGGATCATCCCATATGAGAAGCAGTACTCTCACACCTTCTTGTGACTTCCTCTTGAGAATTTCCCCCAACATGCTCTCCTCAGCTTTTCCATTATCCCTAACAAGTGTAACTAAGTGGTACACCGACCATCCTGTAATGTAAATCAACCGACGAGCCTGATTTATTGCATTGAACATATCCTGCCAACACTGTCCATGCTTATACTGCACTCCGTTATCAAGCCACAAATTAGGAAGGCTGCCCTCGGGTACATGAGCGTCTTGATAAAGTGTTACTTTTCCGCCTCGTCTGAGAGGGAAATAAGTCCCCGGCACGCCCTTATACGCGTGATCTCCTCCTACACCACCATAATAAAGAGGTACCCTCTCCGTTGGAGTGAACTGAATTGATAAAGTCAAGACAGCTCCTTCCTTACAAGGCTTCCCACTACCATTTATAATTGGAAATGTTCCCTCAATGAATTCACCAGAACATAGTTGCTCTACTGGAATTCCAACAGCACCTATAATTTGAGATCCTACAACATCATTATCTTTAACAACAAAGTGAACTTCTGGTGCATAATGTGCTACTGGTACATAAAAGTGCTGCATCCAAACCGGATTTTCGCTATTGGTAATCACATATGTTCTAGCAACCACAGCATTAGATACTGAAACTGTAACATAAGGATCACTAGTAATCTTCGTGGCGCCTTCCTTTTTACTGCCAAGTTTTGCCAATCCTCCAATCAAGTTATCCAATTTCTTATGAAATAGATCCATGTTTGGCAAATTCTTAGCCTCCCTCACCCAAATATCCAAATTTCCATGCAACAACAACACCCTAAGTGATCCTGTTGATGTCTTAAATGGGAGAACTTGGACACCTTGACCATGTTGTGAACTAATAGAATCAGAATAAGACAAATGAGCCATAAAAACACCTTCTTTTTAAATCCTCAACCCCTCTCAAATTTAAACCCCCTTTACAACAAAACTGACCACAAAAGTCAAAATTCTAAATTGCAGCAATGGCAGATCATATACTAAACAGGTAATCACTCAAGTATCAGTTATAATAAATGTAAAGATCTCAACTTTAACACAAATTACCAGAATTTACGGTCACCAAAACAAATCTTGAAAGATCAAAATTCCAAAAGAAAGAGCAAAATAGAGAGAAAAGATCAGCTTAACAGGCCAAAACAAGAAAAACCCCAGATGGGAAATAATGAGGAAATGTGTATATATAGAACAAAGAAGTTGAAATTGGAAAATGGGGTTTGTGTGTGAACAAGAAGAAAGAGAATTGACTTGGTAAATGGCTGCTGCTAGAACTGAAGGAGACTGAGAAATCAAGAATGCAGACAATGACAGAGTTGAACGAGTTATATAAGAAGAAGGATCCATCAGACTTTCCTTAATGTATAAAATATAAACCAAGTGGACTAATTCTAACAGAAAATAAATGTTAAACTTAGGATAACAGAAGTAATCCATTTTTTTAAAATTACTTTTAGAGGCTGGGACTTTAAGAAAGTTGAAGTAATAAACAAGTTGGGCAAGTGTGAGATACTATGATTATTTGGTATAAAGCTATAGGCTGCATTTTTGGTATGACGCCAGCAGAGGGAGATTACAAAGGAGGGCTTTTCAGTCATAGAAGGAGCGTGTCATTTGGAAGCTTCTTGTGTTAATGTTCGGCAGCCATTACTGTTTTGCCGGCCAGAGAGGAAGACAAATAGTACTCATTTTAAGACTTTTTGAAATAATTTAGTAACAATTCAATAAATACAGTCTTAAATAAGGATTTTTAAAAGTTGTGGTTTAATTAGATATATTTATGTAGATATAAATTAATTTTGTTTGAGGTAAAATAAAAATTCTAAAAATAAATTGTTACTAAGTATGGAAAGATGATATTTTGTTTGGGATTGACTTAAAAGAATAGAGTATCAAAATAAAGAAGTACTCCTACATGTTTTCATGAACAAACATTAAAGGATGTGGTGCAGTGGATGAGACTACTCTTTCCTTAACTAAAGGTCTCGGATTCAAGCCCTGGTTAAAAAAAATCCTTGTTAGGGAATGGAGCCCTACACTGCGCGAATCGGAATATAATCGGGCTCCAATGCGAGTACCGGACACCGGATAGGAAACCCAAAAAAAAAAATTCAATGAACATAATTATTGTTAAACTAAAGTTAATTATTGTGCATTGAAATAAGTTTTTATCGCAGAAGTATTGCTCCCTCCTAAATTGTGTCATAATTTACTTATTAATTCCTTACCAAAAAAAAAAGATTTATTTATACAATTTAATTTTAATTTTCTTACGGAAAAGGCCTAAAAATGCCACTGAACTTTCAATGGCCTATTGATGCCATCCGTTAAAAATTTACTATATCCATGCCATTGCCGTTAAAGAAATGGCCTAACTATGCCATTATTTGTCTAACGGAGGGAATTTTTTTTAAATATTTATTACACTTGAGTTTCCACGTGTCATGTTATTATTTGTCCGAAATAACCCCAGCCCCACTTAATTCTAACCTTAGTTAGGTCCACTACCCATCCCCAAACCCAACCCGGTTAAAAAAACAAATCCCTAACCCCAACCCGGTTAAAACAAAATAAATCCCCTTCAGCAAATCCCCTTCTTCTTCCCCAAATTTGCAACCCTAAAACCTCCATTAATGCTGGTCCAACCCTAAAACCAGAAAATACACAGAAATCCATCATCAAGGCTGGTCCAACGCTTAATTGGAAAGGTTAAAATACAGCAGGGAAATCATTTAGTATATAAAAATTAAAGGAAATGAGTCAATAACAAATAAAACCGAAGAACAAAATAACAGAATTCAGCAAATCTTAACAGGAATTGCTCTAACATTTAGTCCATATTCAAGTCAAGATTCACCAACTCACATACATCTATCTACAACGAACAGATATCAGAACAAGACTCCGAGGCGTTGAGTCCATAACTTATTCTACATTAATGGAGGTTTTAGGGTTGCAAATTTAGGGAAGAAGAAGGTGATTTGCTGAAGGGGATTTGTTTTGTTTTAACCGGGTTAGGGTTAGGGATTTGTTTTGTTTTAACCGGGTTGGGTTTGGGGATGGGTAGTGGACCTAACTAAGGTTAGAATTAAGTGGGGCTGGGGTTATTTCGGACAAATAATAACATGACACGTGGAAATTCAAGTGTAATAAATATTTTTAAAAAAAAATTCCCTCCGTTAGACAAATAATGGCATAGTTGGGCCATTTCTTTAACGGCAATGGCATGGATATAGCAAACTTTTAACGGATGGCATCAATAGGCCATTTCTAAAAATTCAATGGCATTTTTAGGCCTTTTCCGATTTTCTTATATATAACTTAATACTAGTATACTTTTATAAAACAAGCTAAGAACCTAAGACTTGCATGTTTAAGAACATAAATTTTAAAGGTTCTTTTATCATTTCTTAAATTTAGTATTCTTAAACTTGGTTGGTAAGATTCTAAGTCATGGTACAAATACCATTTCTTTTTCGTCAAATGCGTTCAACACTCTTTTCACTTTTTTTTTATTGGTTCGGTTAAATGGACGGCTGTAGCAAGTTATAAGAACAAGGGGAAGTAGTGCATGTTAAGCAAGATCTTCACGTGAAGAGATTGATAAAATCCGGCTAAGCCAAAAATTCTGAAAAGGAATTCAAAAAATCCCAAAATGCTATACCTAAGATTTAAACATGTATTTCTCTTATGTTAAGCGGATTCAAATTCTATATAAGTATGAAAGCTTCTGTTTTATCCTATAAAAGCAGTATAATTTTCCGCTCAAGAAAATTCAATTGAATCATCTTGATTACAGCCTCTAAGAGTACATAAACGCCATAAAGGCCGGGATAGGGCCCCGCCTTACCAATCAATACATGTCCAAAGTATACTGACTAAATAGGCAACTCCAGAGCAAGTGGAGTACGCCAACACCTTCCGCTGAGCTGATAGCCTACTAGGAGGATTTTCAACCTATCTATTGGGACCTGCGGGCATGAAACGCAGCATCCCCAGTCAAAAGGGACGTCAGTACGAATAAAGTACTGAGTATGTAAGGCATAAAAAGTAGTATATAAAAGACATGAAAGAAACATGGAGTAAAGGACTTAACCTGTAAGTCTGAATAGCTCTGTGAATCATGAAACATTTATAATGTCATGCATATGCTTATAAATGCCGTATCATGCATGGGTATATGCATACATAACATCATCAAGCCTATGAGGGCGCCCCATCATATCATCTCGGCCTCAGTGGGACAAATCATCAACGTATACCAGCTGATCAGGTGGTGGTGCGTATATAACGATGTAACCTTTCCCCATACCCCATATATATATATAATGTACGCCTATATAACGCCATCTGGTCATGGGTCAATATACATGTATAAATGAATTTAATGCATAATGAAGTAAGTCAATAAGATCTCTCGGGATGTCATAAGATCAATATGCTTCGTTTAATATCATGAAATAAAATTTATCAGATTATGTATTTTCTGAGATCCATGAACATACGATATAATAATAAGACACATGGGGAATCAAGAACATAGGCACCCTTAGTACTTCTATGAATAAAGTCATTTGTGAAAGTTGCTCGTTTGCTCATTTTGTTTGTATCATATGGATCATGCCAAAAAGAAAAGAAGGGATAGCCTTAACATACCTTATCACAATATGTTCAATAACCACGTTGAACTCGTTGCGTCCCACCTTAATCTACAACAACGATAATAATACTATCATTACGTTACGGAAGATTCAGTACTACCGCACACGAACAACAAGCTTACGGGCAGCATCTCCCCTATAATCTTTACTTCCCCCCAATTCGATATAACACCAAAAACAACAAGAATAAAGTAATAACAACATGTATATATCATTTTCCACCCTAATCTCCATAACAATATACCACAAAATAGCCCACACACACCCTAATCAGTTCATACACAAAACGACAACCATAGTAGTGTCAAACAACCTAAAAATATAACGACAAACGACCACCCCACCACTCTGCCATTATGTGGTGTTTATCCACACCCTTTCTCCTTCAAAACTCCATAAAACAGCAGCAAAACAGACAACCCAAAAATAATACAAAATAGTCGACAAAACAGTCCACTACAAGTTGAATAACTCGAACTCACAGCTTCTGATCACCGTCCCATGAGTTCTTACAATTATTGAACGAATTTCTCTACTTTTACAGTAGAAAAATTGGATGAGATAGGGAAGTATATTTACCTTATTTGGTGAATATTTCAGCTCTTATCTTGTTTCTTCAACCCTTAGGTTTTCCTCCAACTAGAACTTGAAAAGAAGAGAAAATCATTTAGGATTTTGTGTTGAATTTTTTGGAGAAGTTTGCTGGGGGTTTATCTCTAATTTTTTTTATCTATAATGAGTGTAATATCTGAAGGAAATCAGCCCTTAAAAGGGCTATTTGTCCGACTCAAACTAGCCCCTTTTCGGACATATTTCGTCATTTCATTTAAGCAAGTAGGTGACACACCTACTTGTCACATTTGCAGTTTGTGCAGTCTCGCAAAAACACAAATATCTCTCTACTCTGATGTAGTATTGACGAGCGGTTTAATGCGTTAGAAACTAGACTCGTAGATCTTCAATTTCGTAGTAAGATCATCCCTTAATTCAAAGAATATTAGGAGAAAAGGTTAGCTAAATTTGACTTAATTTTCAGTACATTTATTAAAATGTAACTTGTGATGACTTTTGCCAACTTTTATTCCGCAACTCACTTGACTTCAAAATTTATTACACGGCTATACGAATAAAATAACTCATAACATAACCTCCTTATCATGTTAAGCACCCTAATATCTGTCACGGCCCAAAATCCAACTAGTCGTGATGGCACCTAACCCAATCCGCTAGGTAAGCCAACTAACAACTATCCAATTCCAATAAAATCAATAAAATAATTAAATAGAGAAGTGAACTGAATCTTATACATTTCCCAAGAACCGGTAGTACAAATCATGAGCTTGTAAGAATAAAATTTAGAAAGCGGGTATGAAATAAATACATCATCTGTCCGAAAAGTACATAAAGAGAGTTTTATGAATCTAAGGCTACCATGAACAAGAGGCAGCTACAACCGGAACGCAGGTGCATCTTCAAGTCTAGCTCCCGTAGAACACAGCAACATCATCATTCAACATCTGCATGCAAGGTGCAGAAGTGTAGTATGAGTACAACTGATCCCGTGTACTCAATAAGTAACAAACCTAACCATAGGTTGAAAGTAGTGATGAGCTGGTACAAAGGTCGGGTCCAACATCAATAGCCAACAACAGTTCATAACAATGTAAAGCAAGTAATAAAAAAAGTAACTCAGAGATAAAAGGCTCAACATAATCATGATTTCCAAAAATAGTTCCGCTTTTCAAGTATATCAGTGAAAACCCAAA